TTTTTTTTTTTTTTTTTTAGGAAAATCAACATAAAGAAATGGAACGTGCGTGGAGAATAGCTAAAGAAATGTCTAATTTAATAGTTTATTGTAGATCCGTCGCATTTAATTTAGATAGAATAAAAACAAAAGGTTTTATATTTAATGAAATGAGTAGCTTTCCTGAGACAAAAGCTGAAAAACTTATGTGTCAACAAGAAAACAAATTTTTCATAAGATATCATCAGGTGCAACAATATAAGATTATAATAGATCTGATTTTAAAATTAAAAGATAAAAATATTTACAATTATAATTTTACAGATTCAATTTAGCAGAGTATATCCAAAAGGGCAACGTATCGATTCATCAAATTATAATCCTGTGCCAATGTGGAATGTTGGTTGTCAAATGGTAGCATTGAATTATCAAACTGGTGATAAATCAATGCAGCTTAATCAAGCAAAATTTAGAGAAAACGGCAACTGTGGTTATATTTTAAAACCCGAGTTCACGTTTAGGGATGATTTTAATCCGTATGATAAGAATTGTTTACACGGAATAGAAAGTCTCAAGTTTTCCTTAAAAATTATTGGTGCGAGACATTTAATCAGATCAGGCAGAGGCATAGCTAGTCCTTTCATTGAAATTGAAATTATAGGAACTGATTTTGACTCTGGTACAAAACTAACAACAAGAACAATACGTATGTATGAAAATGTGATATGTTTAAATATTAATCTGTGGATAATAATAAAATTAATATTATAGCTGATAATGGATTCAACCCCATGTGGAACGAGTCTTGCGAATTCGAAGTTTTTAATCCACATTTCGCATTCATACGATTTGTTGTACAAGATGAAGATATGTTTGGTGATAGTAATTTTATTGGACAAGCCACTTATCCCGTATGTATAAAATGTTTATCGTTTTTAAATTATTAATCGAGTATCTTATTATTTTTTAATAATATTACAATTCCATATTTAGGTTCGATGTTTGCAACCAGGATATAGAAGCGTTCCATTAAAAAACAATTACAGCGAAGATCTTGAACTTGCATCATTATTAGTACATCTTCGAATTACATCTTCGGAAAGATGTAAATAAAATTTCATTATTATTTATTTCTATCATCTTCTTAAATATATTAATATATACAATTGTTGTAGGTACATTCGCATAATTTATAAAATTAATAGTAAATTACGGGCGTTAAGATATTTGATATGTATCAGAAAGGTAAAAATCCAAAACTTCTTCTTAAAGTACTTACTTTTACGAGTATAATATCGTATAATACAAATTTTATTATTTTAGGTTATTATTTAACACAAGTACTGTTACATGAAATGCTTTAACGAAATATTATCATAACAGGAGACTGGTTATTTACAAAGATTTAAATCTTCAAATTAAAGTCAATAATTTAAGAACATTATACGTTATGTGTAATATCAAAAGAAAATAGCTACTATGGTATTGAAAAAATAGTAGATATTAAAGAAAAGTGACTATTGAGAAAACGCAATAATATCTAAAACGTGACATATGAGAGATGACATTTTTAATATATACTTCTATTTAATTCATAATTCATGTAAGAGCAGTGCATAATGTAAAAAAAAATAATTGTGATTTAGTCTAGACTATCTTTAAATTTCTCATGTAAAAAACACTAGCATATCGGAATATATCTTTAAGTTATATTATACTACTTCTTTCTTTCAGACAAAAAAAGAACACATATGAATAATGAGATTTTAAACTATGATATATTTTAGACTGAAGTAATATGCACAATACGCTTGTAATTCATTTAATTAGAAAGATATTTTCATATTAATACTATTTATTTATTGTTTTGAAGTTTTAATTTTACAATATATAGTTTTAATTTAACAATATGTAAAAGAACTAAACGACGAGATACTGTGTACTGCATTTCATATAAAATCATAAACTTTCGGCTATATCAAATGGAATATAAATGTTTTTTTTTAAATAATATAAAAGTGTATTCAGTAATAGGATAGAAAACTAAAAAAAAAACATTAGAAACTATTAATTAAATTTACGAACTTACAAATATTACGTAAGAAAATATTTCATTTTTCTATTTTTTATTTTCGTACGTAACTAAATATTTTATATTCTGTAAAATTTTTTTATCATCGTTCCTATCGATGTAGATTTTTATATCTGAGAAAAATATTACTATATTTACTTGTAATTAATTACTTGTTAAAAACAAATAGTAATAGAAGTATTTGATATGTTAAACACGTTATTTGTTTCCTTCGATTTTGTGTTTTAAACTATAGCAAATAAATCTATTTTGATTTTAATTGAAATTTAGTTAAGAAAAATATAATTTTTTGTATAAGAATGAGAATATGTTATACTTACAATTAGAATAACATTTATAATATAATATGCCTTCATTTTATGATAGATGAATTAAATATATCATAATAAGGATACTACTGAGCAAATTAGCCTTCTATTAAAATGATAAATTATTCCAATATTATATGCATATTAAAAATATGTACAAACATGTGTTAAACATAATTAAATGTTATATATACAGTAAGTTCATAAAAAAAAAATAATTTGTTTATCATTAGATATTTTTTTACAAAATGATTAAGCATAGAATTTCTTTATTATAAAATCAAACTTTAATTTTGGAATTAATTAAAATTGTATTAATGTCGAAAAAAAGTTACGTTCTTTCTTATTTCTATATTTAATAAAATTCATTTTTTTTTCTTACCCGTATCTTCTAATTATAACTTACTTTCAATGACTTTTTGCCTACTATTGTTTCATACTAATCAACGTAAAATATAATTAATGTAATAATTAAAAATACAATTCATGAAGTATACACTTTATTAGATGAAATGTATTAAAAAATAATATATATACTTATTAATTCTAAATATAGAATTCTGCATAACTGAAAAATGATGTTTTGTTATGAATAAAACTTCTTCATATAGGGAATTTTTAAAATAATAGTAGATACAAAATTCTGATTTATGTTCTTTCAATTTCAGTTGTAAACAAGTTACAAACTTTTCTTAAGATATTCATCAAACAAAAATATAGCTACAGATGGATCACCGTCAGTTAACAAGTTCTTCAAATCACTTGTATAACCTGCTAAATCTCGAACACGATCAGCTTGTGGTTCTAAGAATTTTTCTTCAATGTAATGAGCAAGAGCAGCATCATCTTCCTTATTAATTTGTGTAAATGTAGAATGTATACGCAGAGCTTCATTTGCAAGCTGTTTTTGTCTATCAAGTGCTTTGGCTAAACTGTTAAGTTCATTCAACTCGAATACATTTGTCTAAAAAAAAAATGTATAAAATTAACAACTTTTAATATTTTTGTCTCTTTTTGTAATATAATGTATAAATTATAAAGTATAAAAATGTACATACAGGTTTCACAAAGTGTGGCGATTGATTGAAGTCCATTGTGCCACCTCGTTTGGTGATATATTTGATCGTGTTAATTGCATCCTCCCACATTTCATCAGAAAATTTACGATATAATTTTTTAAATCCTTCACGTTGATCTTCATAATTTCCAAAATAACTAGACATTAGTAGAAATTCAAAGCTGATTCCAATATTAGCATTTGCATATGATTGAAGATCAACTAAAGGATGCTTTTTAGTATATCCATACTTTGCATTACAATTTAACATCGATTCTAAAAATTTAAATATCGGTATATTTAAATATATAAATTTAAGTATCGATACACAAAGAAATTTCAATCAGAACTTCTTAAATTTCTTAAATATTCTTATCACCTGTTTTTGGTAGGGAGCTACAAGCTGTACCTACATCAGTGTAGCAGGTATCTTTAGCAAAGGCAACTGCTAGAAGAATGGATAATATTCCAAAGAACAACATGTTCTCTGTAATTTTAAGTAATAAGTAAAGTAAATATAAACTGTGTAATTATACATGTAAAATATTTCTAATATCATCTAAATATTATCTATTTCTATATTATCAATTTATCGAGGAATCATACTTTTAATAATTTCAAAATACATTCCACATATTTGAACAATGATAATCCCATCGTTAAATTTTAAGTAGTACGCGTAATTAATGTCATGTTTATAAAAACATGCTGAATTGGTAACCGAAAAATGATAATAAAGATATACGATAACCTAGTTCCGAATAAAAATACCGATACAATTTAACGATGTTGATTCGCAAAATATAATCTATGTACGTTACGCATCTATGCAGAAAGAAAAATTTGTAATACAGTATCTATAGATATCAAATACTCCGCACAAGCATTTTCGTCATTACACTCTCAAATGCGCAATATCTTGCGTACTAAATGATAATGAAATAATTTATAATTAAAAATATTCGATCTCGCAATAGTATTAATTTAATTTTTTAATTATACTGGGTGATTCACATGTTATTTTTTTTTTTTTAGTTACTGAACTTACACAGAAAATATGAACAGGATAAGTTCAATGTAAGTAATCTACTTTGAATTATTTATCTTTTTTCTGTAATACTTTTTTCTAATTTTAAGCAAAAAAAGGATATGGTGTGTTATAGTTATTGTTATTATTATTTGAATCATTCTGTATAACAGAAATAACGATACAATAATGAATGTAATTGAAATTATTCATACCTACTTAAATGATGTATTCGTTTAAAGGAAAGCAACGTGAATACTCTCGCTTCGACGTTCTTCCAACAATGAACGTCGAAGAACCACATTCGTTGGTAGTTTTTCATGTAGTCATAGTCAGCTGATAGGCAGTGCGCATGCGTGATAGAAAGGGAATAGAAAATTCCAGTTACTCCCCGTTGATTAAAGTACGAATGATACGCATTTGTTGGTCAATTATTAAATAATCGATGGCCGTACATCGTGTTTAGTTCACGCACGTTCTCTTATTTAGCTTCACTAAAGGCAGCCTTCTATACCAGTGCGTATAAAGGTTGCTACTGAAACAGGCAAAATTACAAATACTCGCGATTTTTTAAATTACAGCCTCTAGAAAAGTTCTACGATGAAGCTGATTTACGTTTTTCTCGCTTTCCTCTACATCAATGGATCATTAGGAGATAAACTTAAATGTAAGTCTATCATTTTTCTTACAGTATTTGCTTCAAATGTTTTTTTTTTTTATGACATTCTATATAAAAAACAATTGAGGTTAGCATGACATTTTTCGATAGATTCCATTGTGGTTCCTTATATTCTCCATTTTTAAAACCGATATTATTTTTGAACAAACTGCATTGTATTTCTTGAAATGATATTAAATATATAGATATGTTATATTTATTAATTTTAGTATATTTAAATTAATACCTAATAATATCGCGGAAGAACGTAGTAGTAATTTGTTTGTGTCGTGATGCAACAACTTGATGCGTATATTCTTCAGAAATAATTCCACAAAGCGTATTATATGTATGTAATATTACATTATTTTCTTTAAAGTAAAATTATAATATGTCTTAAATAACAATATTAAAAATTAAATGAACTTCAATAATCTGTGTTATTGTAAACACCTCTATAATTTATGTTTTTTCATACATATATTAATTTTCATATAATGTAGATATTGTTTATAGATGTACAAAAAAAGATAAAAATATGAAATATATACATTTACAAAAATATAAGTGTAAAATTTTAAAAAAATTCATGTATTTTTTTGTTATTGGGAAAGAGCATGAGTTTGCACGTTATCTCTCTTTGTCCAGCTTTAGTCATTTTAGATAACTGAACTTATTTGTCACGGAATATGATTTCACAATTCTCAGTGTGTCATTATTCATATTTATTTCAGTTCTCATTGTTTTATTATTCACATTTATGAATATTCACATTATCAGAAATGTATTTATTTCTATATTGTTAGATATAAAAATGATTGAAGAAGCAATTTCTATAATAAACTTTTTAAATTTTCTCGTTCATTGAATTACTTATTATATTACTTTATTATATACTTTTACCGTGTATTTGTGTTTTTTGAAATAAACATTTCAGATATTTTATCATTATTCTTATCTGTAAAATATTTATATTTTATAGAGCAATGATAAAATTTTATTGCAATATCATCATTGAAAATTCATGATCAATACTCACATATCGTCATTAATGAAATAAAATTAATAGTAAAATACATTGCAAAATACATTGTAAAATACATTAGTAAAATATTTAATGGATAATTTTTGAAGTTTTAGAACAAACTAATTGTGTTTTACGATTCTAGGCTATTAATTAGTAATTGTTATTGGCAATCTTATTTGTACAACGATAACATTTGATAAATTTTACGTGACAGTATAAATGTATTGATTACTGCATGTTCTAAAGTCCACATTCAGCACAAGTGTATTATATATTGTTCCAAGAAGTCAGATAATATAATCAAAACTATTTTACATCATTGACTTCCTTTTCCATTATCTTAGAAGTGGTGTTTGTTTCAATCTTAAATACAGACATTTTGCATTTATTCAGATAATGATCTTTTTTAATATTAATTTCGTTTTTTTTTATGATTATGTTTTTTTATATCGAACATTGAAGTTGAAAACAATATTGAAAATTAAACACTAAAATGATAATGACGATTAAAGCACTCTGCAGCTGGCTAATTAATATTTTTGTAATTATAAAAGATACGAGAACATAATCTTATCCCAAAGATAAGTTTGATAGATTCTAATCATTGATTTATTATCTATTTATTATTCTACTTGAGATATCTACGATATTACAAAATATTACACGTTAAAAATATATTTTTCTCTAGAGTTTTTCTCTATTTCAGAGTTTGATAAATTATACATTGCTATATTTTTATTACAAATGAATATTTAATTGATATCGATTATCTAATTTTATTGAATTGATTATTTGTAGGTACAGTACCTATGCCTCTATCTATGCCAACCTCATGGCTGGACATGGCTAATTCATGCGTCGATGTTTTAAAATCTCAGGTGGAAACTGAAATTAAAGCTGCTATGACTTATCTGGCAATGGTAATTACATTTTTTCATTATTTTACGATGTATTTCATTAAAAATATTATATTTATATTCATTTTATTTATATTCTTCATTTCAGGGTGCTCATTTTGCTCGTGATACAGTTAATCGTCCTGGATTTAGCAAATTCTTCTTTGAGTCTGCCAGTGAAGAAAGAGAACATGCAATAAAAATTATTGAATATCTATTAATGCGCGGTCAATTAACAGAGGATGTTAGCAAACTTTTGAGTAGCCGTTTGGTATGCATCTAAAATTATTTTATTACTTATTTATTTATTCCATAAGAAAACACATAAATATAAATTGATTTTATGTTTCACAATATCAGTAGAATATATAAATATTATTTTTAGTTACCATTGCGTGAAACTTGGAGTAACGGCGTTGGAGCTCTTCAAGAGGCTCTTGAATTAGAAGCTAATGTTACAAAACGTATTCAGGATATTATCAGAAATTGTGAGAAGCCAAATGACAGCAATTTCAACGATTATCATGTAAGTTATATTATATACAAGTAAAGTCGTGTAGTTTATTTCGTTGATCCACATTGTTTAATTTTAGTTGGTGGACTACCTCACTGGAGAGTTTTTAACCGAGCAATACAAAGGGCAGCGTGATCTTGCAGGAAAAATTTCAACTTTGGGCAAAATGATGACAGCACATGGAGAGCTAGGAGAATTTCTATTTGATAAGAAACTTTTGAACAATGAAGTTTAATTTGTACTTGAGGCAACAAAAATTTTACTTTATTAAGCATATATAAAATTATGGCCATATTTAGAATGAGTCGTGTATATTAGGTGCGAACGATAAAGTACGGTTGTTAATTAAAACTTTAACAAGTAATATCCATTTCTGTATCTAAGACGATTTTTGTATCTATTTGTTTTGTTTAGAGACAATTCAAATCTTTGACTGTAAATTTTATTTGTAAGTTCTACTTACTTTTCATCGAAGCTATATATATTAAGTTCCTATTATTTTCTGCTCAATTACGATTGTTATATTAATAATGCATAAAACAATTGTAATTGTTAAAAATTAAGACTTATATTTTTGAAAGTTTCAAATTAACATTGCACTGTCCTGAAAGAGATTCGAGTTCTATATCGTTTCAAATACTATATCGTTTTCACCTGCAGTAACTTGGTTTAATTTTAAGTTAGTATCAAAGATGTGTATCAAATTGTGTTTTATATAAAATATTTTTCTAAATGTGGTCTATAACATAGGTATAAGAAACTTTGTTTACAAATGTTTGTTAAACTGTAATGAATATATTACTCTTACTAAATAAATGAATATTTTAAGATTCATATAGAATAATACATATTTCGTTCATTAGTATAATATAAAATATAAAAAATAAAGTACTTTTATCATAAGATTGATCTATGGTATTTTAAACCATGCTTCGCAACATACAAATTTTAATTTTAAATAAAGAAAATAAAGAAAACCGCATTTACCACAATTGTAGTCAAATTGTTTTAAAAACAATTACATTGTGTATCATTTACATTGATACACATTGTCTTTTATATCTTAATTTAAATTAATAGTGCTAAAAGCAATACATATGAACATTGATTATTATCTCAGTATTGAAGATGCGTCAAATCATAAATAAAATTTTATAATAGCTATTTATTTATAAGACTATTTCACAATGTCTAAATAGGATCTGAACAAAAAAAATAGATCAAAAATATTTTATTAAATTTAGCTATCAATATATTTCGATACAAATTTGAATTCCAACCTTGTGGCTCCTCGTAGTATCAATTCTAAGAAGTACATATTGTACGAATCTGTATGATAAATGTAACGTAAAGAAGGCAATGAGCGAAGGAATTTTAATAAAACTGGTTAAATATTATAATTATAATTATCATTATAATAATCAATATAATATTATAATAATTATCATTAGTAACTATTTTAATCACTAATTCGTATTTATTTTTGATTTGCTATGAAAAACGATATTGCCAAGTACTTCTTAAAATTAACACTTCAGGGAGCTACGATTAAAGCTGTGACGATTTATAACAGAGTTGAACATCTTGTAATTTATACATATGATATTACATTCTGACCAATCGGAACAAAGTATAGGAATTCGTTATTTTGAAACAAGTATTGAAAGTACGTTGTTTGTGGAAGAATTTGTATTTATTGTTTTAAACGTAAGTCTTTTAATTGTTATTATTAATTTTCTAAAATAGTATGTAAAATATTTTCAAAATTCACCGTGATTTTTAGGTAACTTTTAAAAGTACATTGTACTTCCTTTCTCTAAATATTGACTATGTAATTTTAATACAAAATATGTATGTATTTATACGAAGTTTCAATTTTTTTATTAATATATAAGAAATTTTTATGTAATTTTATAGTTTTTAATCTTTCTAATATGTAATAAATTAATATTTTATAAACAGTTTTTGTTTAGTACTCGTGTTTATAATTATAGACGATATTCAAGCAATGCTGAAGGATAGAAAAACTGATTCTCAAACATCTAAGACAATCTCTCAAGTTGAAAATAATTTTAAACAATTAAAGATATCAAAAGTGAATACAGCATTAATTGAAAATACATCAAAAAGTGCAAAAAATTCAGATAATACAAGTAATCAACATAGTACTTGTTTGGGAAATATCAAGCAAAATAAAGAAAATATCTCTAAGAAGTCAACAGAATTGATGCCGCCACCTAAATCATCTGCACCTTATAATACAATAACATATGCACCAAATGCAATTAATGATAAGGAGGAAAATGAAATAAATCTTAAAAGAACATCTAAAGAGAACATAGATATTGAAAATAATGCAGAACAAAGTAATACAAACAAAAAAGGTCAAAGTGAAAAGAAGTGGGTTTTAACTGATTTTGATATTGGACGGCCATTGGGAAAAGGAAAGTATGGAAATGTTTATTTAGCTAGAGAAAAGAAATCAAAATTCATTATTGCTATGAAAGTATTATTTAAAGCACAAATACAGAAAGCTGATGTAGAACATCAAGTTAGGAGAGAAATAGAAATTCAAACACATTTAAGGTAAAAATTCCAAATATTTACAATAAAAAGAAAATACTGACTTTTATTACAAAAATTTTAAATTTACATTTGACTATTTCATTAATTTTTGCTACAATATAAATGATATTTTTTATCAGATGAATTAATGTAAATATATTATTTTTATGTTTATCTAGGCATCCAAATATTTTAAAAATGTACGGGTATTTTCATGATGATAAAAGGATATATTTAATTTTGGAATATGCTCCAAATGGAGAATTATTTAAAGAATTGAATGCTCAACCAAAGAAGCGTTTTGATGAAATTAGAACAGCAACGTATATATCTCAATTAGCAGATGCTTTAAAATACTGTCATAGTAAAAAGGTGATACATCGAGATATCAAACCTGAAAATTTATTACTTGGTATAAAAGGTGAATTAAAAATGGCAGACTTTGGATGGTCTGTCCATGCCCCCTCTTCTAGGAGAACTACTCTTTGTGGTACTTTAGATTATCTACCACCAGAAATGGTTGCTGGAAAAACACATGATCATACTGTAGACTTATGGGGACTTGGTGTACTTTGTTATGAATGTTTAGTTGGTAAACCTCCTTTTTTATCTGAATCTTACGATGAAACATACGTAAAAATCAGAAAAGCCCAATACGAAATTCCACAATTTGTCAGTGAAGATGCTAAGAATTTAATGTCTAAGGTAAATTGTAATTTTATGTTTGTAACAATACATTATTAATGTTAAATTGAGTAATTAAAAAATTTGATTATCAAATGAAAGCAATTTTCCATTTTTTTATTTTAGCTATTAGTACTTGATCCAGCTCAAAGATTACCTTTAGAAGATGTTTTGAGACACCCTTGGATCGTACAAAATCGAACGACAGAGCCATATGTACCGTAATGAAGTAGCTAAATTGATGACGTTCATTTTATCTCGTAAAACAGTTTTCATAATAAAAAATCTATTTGAGGTATTTTTTTATATTATTCCTAATATTCAATTATTTTATACATAAAATAAAACATATAATTTAAAATAGTGCACTATATATTTCTTAACAATTATGTTTTATTACTAACTTAATTACAATACAATTTTAATGTAATCAAGTATTTAAGCTTAATTTTTGTCATTTAAGCTATTATATTTATATCAAATTAAAAAACAAGTGATAATATTTCATATGTAATAACGAGACAGAATTAATAGTTATAAAATTAAAAAACTTAATGTATAATAAAGATTACACACATATATATATAACACTTTGACGGCCGCACATTTTTCACGTCGCCTTCAGGTTGTTGCCGGTGCACACAGGTTTTTACTATCTGCCGCCGCGACATTTACGAAGTCATTCGTAGCATAATAATTACAGTATATTTATTGATAAAAAAAAGATTAAAACGACTATTTTTTTTTCTATTGCATAATCTTATACTTTTAATAAATTAAATCGACCAAAATCATTTTTGTACGTCTTATGAAAATAGCGGTACAAAGTTACATTTTCGAGACGCCGGCCGACAACCGCTGACGAAAAAAAGTCGCGTATGTGACAGCGGCCGACAATATGTTAAGTATTTTTGCACGAATATCTTTATAAATACGATGTGTTTTTTATGTAGTAAATATATATAAAAGTATATGTTAAAAAATAAAATGACAGTTGTTCTTTGTAGACAAATAAATTAAATAAGTTGTTATAAAATGTTTTTTATTGACAAAATCGGGTCATAAAATCTTTTTTATTAAATTTTATGTACATAGTAATTAATCAATTTAATTTTTCTTTTGTTATTGAACTAAAAAAATTATTACCGTTACTCAAAAACGTATTGAACATAAATGATTTATTTTATAGAAATATATTAATGATGAAGTTGAAATACAGTACAAAATAAACTTTGTACTCTACGCTTAAAAAATCAAAAACATGATCAACTTTTATTTGAGAACAGTAAATTAAGATTTAATATATTACAGTTGCACTTTTGATCGTTAGAGATAAACGCTAAAATGTCAACTATAAAAATAATCCTAAGGCGTTACATTATATATCTTTTATGTGAGGTTCACTGTCATCTGCTTAAAAGTACTTGCAATGGAAGATTTTTTACTTATTTAGGATTTACTTTTACTTCACGTTTCCATAGGTTCCATAACTACATCTACCATAGGTGTGTCTATTGGAGTTTCCATAGGTGTATCGTCGGATTTCTTTTTAATCGAGTACAATCTTTTTAATTTTTCATAATGTTTAATATCCTACAAGTTATATAGATTTTTATTACTGAAATATTTTATTTTTATTAATTAAACAAATGTGTTTACCTTCTCTTGTACGGACGGCCTTATTTTATCAAATGCAAGTACGATATGTCGCATAGAGATTTCTGGTTGTCCAGAATAATGCATATCCATTAATTCTTTTAATGCTTCTATTCCAGCTTCTCTGATTAAAGCAGCTAAATCAGCTCCGGTATAACCATCGCATTTATTATTATATCCTATTTCTTTAAGATCTACATCTGCAGCTAATTTTGGTTTAGTTGAATTCTGTAAACGCAAATTTATCTTTAAAGGGAGCACATTTTTTAGGAACGTTTTTTGTAGTTATTCTATAAAACCTTTGTCAATGCTCTTAAGATGTCAACGCGATCTGCTGAGGTAGGCAAATCAACGTATAAAATCTTATCCAATCTTCCTGGTCTCAATACTGCTGGATCTATAATATCAGGACGATTGCTCGCAGCCATTAAAAATACTCCTTGTCGTTCTTCCACTCCATCCATTTCAGTCAGCATTTGATTTACAACACGCGATGTAGCCGGATTATCACCTTCTGATCGTCTGGGACACAATGCGTCCAACTCGTCGAAAAATATAACGCATGGAATAGAATTTCTAGCTCTGATAAAACACTGTCGAACTGCTTTTTCACTTTCACCGACATACTGGAATAATAAAAATTAAGTATTTAGTAATTTAACTTCGTAACAATATTGCAATCATCAAAATTATTACCATATTTAGAAGCTCTGGTCCTTTAACGGAGATAAAATTAATACCAGCCTCATTTGCAATAGCTTTAGCTAATAATGTTTTCCCACAACCAGGTGGACCACACAATAGTACTCCGGTAGGTGCTGTTAATCCTAATGCTGTAAAATGTTCGGAATGTCGAATTGGAGCCTAGAGTATCGAACAAAAAATATTTTATATATTTTAAATATATCTAATTATTCCAATTGTAATTCGATCAAATCAATATAAATATATTTACAAGTATAGCCATTTGCAGTTCTTCTCTAATATCTCGTAACGAACCGACATCATCCCATGTAACATCAGGTACTGTTGCAAAACCTTCCCTTTTGGCTGATGGCTGAATAATACGAAGAGCAGTTTCAAAGTCACTGTGTTCGATGGATAAATTTGATAATCGCTCTGAAGAAAGTGGCGGATCATTACGTAACCAAGTAAGTAACCCTGTTAAATCCGGAGATTTGGAATTTTCTTGTATTACATCCATTTCTAAAGTTGCTTGAAGACTTTCTGCATTACTTGCGTTATTTAACTTAGGAACGTTATTTTGATTTGAGGTAGATGGTTCAATTGTTACTTCTTCGATTAAATTATTTGAATTTTTAAAACTTTCAATTTTTCTCTCTTCTGGAATTTCTGAAGATTTATTATCTGGAACCGACTTCAAATCTTCAAGTATTCTAGTAAAAACATAGGAACGTAAAAAAAATATAACTGATCGTATTGTAAATTAGTTTTTAAAGCACTTGTTAAATACTGAAACAGCTACCTATCCACAGCTGCCATAGCTGCTTCTCTAATTAATGCAACTAAATCGGCTCCGACAAAACCTGGTGTAAGCGAAGCTATTGTCGATAAACTAACATTTGGCGCAAGTGCTACTTTTTCCGCGTGCACAGCTAAAATTTTTGCTCTTGCATCTCTATCTGGTATTCCCAGACATACTTCATGATCAAATCGACCAGCTCTCCTTAATGCAGGATCCAATGAATCAGGCCGATTCGTTGCTCCAAGTACTAATACTCTAGTACCATTTTCTTTTAAACTTAGTTCTGTACAACGATACATTTTCTTTTTGAAAAATTGCTTTAAAGTTAGTGTAATTCAATTATAATAATAATTTACCATCCAAACATGATAACAGTTGCGCAACAATTCTTCTCTCCATTTCTCTTTGAGCTGTGGCTCTATGTTGTGCTATAGTATCTATTTCATCTAAAAAGACTGCACAAGGTGCTATTGCAAGTGCCTGTTCGAACAATTCTCGAATTCTTGCTTCACTTTCGCCTGATACACCTGCTATTAATTCAGGTGCTGCTACTTTCAATAATGGTATACCTAACTCCTAGTTTTTGAAAATATAAAATAAATAATCGAATAAAAAGTAAATTAACTATTAATACTGAAACAGTATCTTACTCCTGCAATAGCATATGCCAATAAAGTCTTTCCACATCCAGGTGGACCATGAAGTAAAAATCCTCTTGGTGGAGATATACCAAGTTGCTTAAAGATTTCTGGATGTTTCATATGTGCAAGTAACTTGCATACAATTTTTAAAACTTTATCATTTCCCCCTATGTCTGCAAATGTCACTTTTGGTTCAGAAATTGGTATTCCTTTAACTTTTTTTATGAACGTAAACTGGCTACTATCATCTTTATCACGTTGTCGCTTTTTTGTGGATTCTATCATTGTATTTGTAATTGTTGTAGTAGATGCTGTTGCCACTGTTGTAGTTCGTTGTATTTCTTTACTAGGCTACAAAAATCAAATCAAGCAATATAACATTTTTGGCGTTGTCAACATTATTTTGACGTAATTACATTACTTCGAATAATAAATTCAAGAAATCTAGCCGAAATAAAGCTTTAAACTTACTGTTTTTAGTTGTTCAACAACTTCCTTAACGTGTGCAGGTTTTTCCGTACTCGAAGATGGACCTGGTTTTTGTTGATCTTTCTCTACAACCTCAGGTTCATTTGTTTTATTAGAATTTGATTCCACCTTGCTCACATCATCGTCACTGCTGATGTCTATAAGTTCTTTATCACTGGAATTTCCATTCTGTTTGTTTTGTGAGTTTTTATACATTTTTAAAAGCATTCCGTCTAACATGGTATTTTGAGAATCTGACTAAAACCAATATACATTTTTTTTTAATTTGTTACGTTGTACTTAATGCTGTAGATAAATACCTCGACGTCAACTTCTTCCTCTTCGTCTTCATCGTCGTAAGAAGGCCATTCACGAGAACAGTATTTCTTTGCAAACATTTCTGTTAGTTCGTCGTATGCTTTACGTACTAATGCTCTGAAAGGACCTCGTTTTTTAATACGGTAGTCTCTATACTTTTTTTGTAAAGCATCTGCCATTTCATTAACATCGATATAGACTTTATTTTCATTTTCATGCATATACTAAAAATATTAAAAAATCAATTATTCAAAAATATTAAAATTACATAATAATTACTCGGAATTAATGTTTATATTAATATTAGTAATATTTCATAAAATTATAAATATCGAAAGAGGGATATAAAGATGTCCAAATTGTGAATAAAGACGTAAAAAAGAAGATATGAAATGCAAGTTTTTAAATAATTTACATAAAGTTATTGCATATCATATTTTCAAATTTAATACATAAATCCTGCAAATTGCATAATATAAAAAATGCTTATTTTAGATACTCGGTCAACTGAAAGATTGTAAATATTGTAAAATAACTAAATTACCGTTTGTACACGTGAAATTAATAATTGATCCCGCAAATATTTGTGAGAAGAATCAGTTTTGTGTTTGTTATTCATAATTTTTGATTTATAATTTCCACTAGATCCTTGTAATGGAATAATATCAATTGAAGGATTCAATTTTCCAACCTTATGCATTTTTCTAACGTCAGGTGTCATAAATACTATTATAAAAATGAAATGATCACTTTTAACTCACAATTCTAAAACACAATTCTATTATCATGTACGTATCAACATTCTGTATACACGAACGACTGTGTTTTTTTGAATTCAGAAAATTTCAATTCTTCAACTACCTATAACAAAAAGAAGAGAGCACATAAGTGGATCAGTGAAGTGGAAACAGTATCCCTAGTAAATTATTTTACAGAGTTAGGGATAGAAAAGAGTAATATATAGAGTGGAATGCATCCAAAGATCATGCGAAACTATTATTACACTATGAAAAGCTATTATTACACTATTTTGCTCTATAATCTATTAATTTACAAAGTATATTTTGTAACAAGAAATTTCAACTTTTGTTGCTAATATTTCTTTTACTATTTTTATATGTTAAAATACTTTCGCATAATCTAATTGTAAAAAAAAGTTTAAATTTAATTAAAGGAATATGAGTTGCATATCTGTTTATCGTATAATACTTACACATGCGTGTTTCGTGGAGAGTGGAAAACGAGAACATTCAGTATTTTGTGAAAGCTTCGTACCAATTGTACCATACTTCTCGCCTCAACTAGTCAACGGCATACCATCATGGCGATGGGTTTTGGTTGTGTCTTTGATTTACAGTTAAGAAATTTGTCGTGATGATCTGAATCACATTTTTTTTTCCTTAAATTATTATTAACATCTGTAAAATCTTTTATCTCATATACTTTATTTCAAGTACTTTTATATGAATTGCAAACATTATGGTAAAGTTAACAGAGGAAATGGTCGTGGCTCGGACACGAATGTCCGATTTTTCTGCCGTAAAGAAACTTAACTGTTGGTAAGTAGTTTGTAAGAATATTACTCTTTAAATAAGTTGTCATTTATTCTATTATTATCTAATCATTTTTATGTGTAATTATATTAAAATGACATGTTCATTGTGATTCTTATTTTTTAAAAATTTTCAGTAGTAGAATTTGTAGTTTTTTTTTTATATTTTCATTGGAAACTACATTGTTCCAATAATGAATTGGTTAGTGGATCATTCCATTGTTCTAAGGAAGTTGTGAAATATTTTAGATGTTAATAGAATAAAAGAAATTTCTTTATTTATATACATATCTAATAACCTTAGCTTAAATAAATACAAATTAATAAAATTTTATCATATATATTTTTATTTAATCTATAATGATAAACAATTGATAAATTATTTTGATTTGCTTTTTTATAAAATAATTTTTTAAATTTGTTGTAAAAATTTTAAAAAATATTTATAAATGTGTAATATTGCTGGATATTTAAATTATTATTTATTATTAATGTAGGGGTACAGAATTGACTGATGTGAGCATTTTAAGGAAAATGAAAAATGTGGAAGTATTGTCATTAAGGTAACTAATTAAGATTTAAATTTATATTTATATATGTATTGAACAGAAATGTGACTTGAAAATTCTCATATAAGTAAAATTTATAATAGTAGTGATCTCAGTTATTTATAATCTTTAACATTACAGAATCTCATAGCGCATTCCTACTATGGACAGGTTTATATAAACGTCAAGATCATACACAACCTACAGCTCAGAAGTTGTTCTACCCACACATTTTGAATTCATTACAATATATTTCAATATTCTCAAAGAAAAATACTAATACATCTTGTTTTTCATAAGAGATTTATTTTTACATTTAGATTTGGAATTAACAAAATTTCTATTTATTTAATTACAAAATCAACTGTAATTTAATATCAACTGTAATTGAAATAATTTAAATATCAACTGTATTTAATATCAACTGTAATTGAAATAATTTAAATTATTTAAGCTTTCATTTAAATGAATTTAAAACATGTTGAAATAATAGCATCTAATGTATTTATACATCTAATATGTAAAAGTTTCAAGTACTTTATACATATTTATGTCTTTGCATATAAGATAATTACATTTTATTAACTTTTTTATTAGAATTTTATATTACAATTACTTTCATATTTTTTAAATGCATTTTTATAATAATTTTAAATGCAATTTTCATTAAAGTTAATTGATTATGATATGATATTCAAAATACAATTAATATGAACATTTCTATATATAAAAATTAATATATTTATGCTGTATTGCGTTATATTTAAAAATTTTTTCATTTATTTATAGCGTTAACCATATCAACACCCTTGCTGATTTTCAATACTGCTTAAGTCTTCAAGAATTATTCGTGAGAAATAATAATATTGAAGATTTGAACGAAGTTTGTTATCTTCAAGCTTTGCCAAATTTAAGAAATTTATGGCTTGGTGAAAATCCTTGTGCTGAAAAAGAAGGGTATTGTGCATGGCATTAAAAAACTTGCTTGAATATTGTTTGAATAGATTATTTAAATGATGGATTTATTTCTAGTTATCGATTAGCAGTTTTAAGAGCGTTACCAAATCTACAAAAGCTTGATGATGAAATAGTATCACCTGAGGAAGTGCAGACTGCATTGACAAGAGGCCGTGTTTTAATTCATCCACTTGACATGTATGCTTCTCCACCGCAGTCAGATGCAGTCAGTCCAGAGGTAAAACTATTTACAGAATTATACTCACCTCACGCTATATTTGTAGAAATCATTTCATTACTTTATCATATAACATCTTTGTTAAAATTTTTACTTTGTTTTATTAATGAAATGTGTTGTATATGTGTTATTAACTGAATCTAATATTAAATTTTAATTTATCTTTTTGTTTAATGCTATTATAATAATTTAAAATAAAATATTATGATATGTTAACACATTTTTAACAAAGTTTTAACATTTAAATAACATTTACATAATTAGGATATTACTACTGAGTATATTGAAGAAACTGAAGTCATTGAACATCGAAGATATAGTTCCTCAAGTGATCAGGTAATATAAAATTCAAACTGTTTTGTTTTTATAATAATTTCATTTTTAATAATTTTATATAATTTGTATGATAATTTTATTATAAAAATTACATATTTACATTATATTATCATTATGTAATAACATATATTTGTTTATTTAATATATACAAATAGTTTTTTAATAAATATTTGTTTACAGAGAAGTTTTGAAGAAACACAGCATACTCAAGAAGAGTATCATGATCCAGATCATAGAAATGCAAATTATAATGCATCACCGTCTCATCATTATTCGCAAAATAATCAATATACATATGAGGTAAGTCGATTGCATGTTTATTTTGCACGTAGAAAGATTTACATTATTTGTAATGAAAATCTGAAAGAAGTTCATTATTCTATGTATCAAAGTTTTGAATAGATTGCTTTCATTGTAATACTAAACTTAGAAATACAATTAACTTTACAACTATCTTAACATTGCTGAGCGAGATGTCTAAGTTAATATTTAATAAATAAGCATGATTTTATTATTACTCTTTTTGTCTGCAATCGTATACTGACAGCAACAGAATGGACAGTCAAAGAATCAAAGCAAAGATGACACTATACGTACAGAGTCGCGCAACGTCAGTGAAAACGTGGCCACTAACACTATTGAAATGATCAAGGTACATTTTATAGATTGCACAATGCGTGTGCAAAATAGTACTAGTGCTTTACTTCTAGTGCTACCTTGATAGTTCTAGTGTTCATTAGTTAAAAATATATTACTTACAATTTAATGAATGATATTATTAATTTTTCAGTCAAAAATAGAAATGACGTGCAATATATCGTAATTTTATTTTTTTTAACGTAATTGTAATTGTTTTAACGTCGAAAATGATCTCGAAGAAAAAGATTTGTGATTTAAAAAGTTTCAAATAAAAATGTTGTTATATTTTATAAGATTTAAATATTTTTGTATCTAATATTAACTTTTACAATA